AGGAGAGAGAGAGAGAGAGAGAGAGAGAGAGAGAGAGAGAGAGAGAGAGAGAGAGAGAGAGAGAGAGTTGCCTGGACCTAACTGGTGATGTTGCCATGAGAAAGAAACAGTGCTTGGCTTCTGAAGGCCGGCATTGCTGTGCCCAGTGTTATTCTTCATTGCACCAGAGTGATATTGCGTTGGAGAGTGCCTTTGCATTGTGGCGACGTTTTCGGAACGAGATACGGTTCTCATCATTGGTAGAGAGGCAGGGTGATCATAGCTGAGGTGGTGACAAGAGGTCAAAGTACCTGGAGATGGAAAGGGGAAGGTGAGAAAATACATTTTGAGTTTATCCTCTTCTCCTACTACTCTTCTTTTTCCTTGTCTTGGTGCTGGACTGCTTTGCTACCTCTTGCGATCGTCATTCGTTTAGCACTGCAAGTTTCATGCATGATGTTGATGATACGAGTCTCTCTTGAAGTCAGGTTCGTTACTTGTGTGTTTAACTTTCAAGTTCTTAGGGGGAAAAAAAAAAAAAAAACGAAACAAAAACAAAAGCTCCTCCTATTCTGGGGGCAGCAGTCCGGTTCCTTTTCCACCAGCGAGTCATAATGGAACACAATTGTACGCCACGCTTCCTCACGTAACGACCAGGGAAACCCTGTCAGCATTGATCGCTTCTCGAAGAGAAGGATGTACTGTCCCGTTAAGCCCATACTTGGAATCCATCCCCACCCCTTACCGTCTTCACCAGAATAGAGCGCCCTGTCAGTACAGCCGTATTTGGGGCAACTTTCAGTCCAGGTCCAGCCATGATGACCGGGCGCTTTATTCGGGTGACAAAGTGTAGTACACGAACCCTGTCCATTTCTTCCAACGAGTAAGAAAACAACATTGCAGGGAGTACTTGCACCACGACTTTCTCAAATGAATCAGGACGTCATTCCATCCAGAATCCTGATATTTCCACTTTAGTCCCACTGTAAGTATGCTCACACTCACTCTGCAATATACTCGCTGTTATGGGTAGGAGTTTAAATCCCCTGCAAACCGTGTCTCCAAGCTCATCCCTGGATCAATCACCGAGATTTTTTATGGCTACCAGTGTCTACCATCGAATTTCTCAGTTGTAAACAATAGGCGGCACTTCAACAACCTGGGGCTTTCCCCCCCCCCCCCCCCCCCCAAGAAAAAACCTGACAACTTTTGCCAGCATGCATAGCATATTACTCGGGACACCCGTTAAAATTGGAACGATACAGAGAAGATTTGCATGGACCCCGTGCAAGGATGACACCGCATAAATCAAGAGATGGACAAAAAAAAAAAAGGAGGAAAAAAAAAGAGAAAAGCCCAAGCGGGCTAGCGCAGTTGTGTTGAGCACGTTTGTGGTATTCAGGAGGTCGTGGGATCGGTTCCCCACATCGTCCATTCGATCCCCCGCGGCCCCTGGATACAATTCGGGTTCACCAGCGGATAGATTTCGCTTGGGCCTCCTGGCTGGTTGCCGAAGCAGTCTGTGCGCTTTCCGGCTCCTGCCAGGTGTTAGGAGCTGGGGTACTGCTCCCCACATAGAGCAGAGTTGAGCAGCAGAAAGGGAAAGGCTGGAAACCCATAACTACTATGAATTGGAATCGAAACTCGACTTAGATAACAGGGTAGGTAGTGTAAGGCATATAAGTGAAGAATATAGCTTAGCTTTTTTATTAAAAAAGCAAAAAGATTCACCTGCATGCACGCCACTCTGTTCTACATGTGTTTTCTCTTTTGTCTGTCACGAATGACTGCAGTACATTGAAGCTGATTGATGTTGATTGAAAATCATTGAACTCGTTTGCACTGCGTATCATTGGCAATGCTCTAACTTCAATCATTGGCATATGCCACAGGATTCAGAGTAAAAAGCAAAGATAATGTTTGAGCCCGTATGATTACCTGTATGGCTCCTTTGCTATTGGGACCAGACACTCGAAGCTGTTGCCAGGGGGCGCAAGTGCTTGCACCTGCAGAAGCAGCAGAACATATACAATGTCAATTTGTCACATATCTATGAACAAAAAGAGTGCAATTTGTCACATATCTTCAACATTGTATATAAAGTTCCCATCATGGGCCGATGTCTATAAAGGACCTCCACAATGAGTCACAGACTGTGGCATACTGCGTAGCCACACGGGCCCTGCAGGGCCCATCCCGCACTTTCAGCCTAAAAGCCTAGAAAATAGGGCTTACAGGCCCCGGTCGTTTCAGCCTGAAACTGAAAAMCGAGGGCCTGCAGGCCCTATTCCGTTTTCAGCCTATTTCTGGGCCTTTCAGGCCCAGAGGCTTTTCAGCCTGAAACGGAGGGCCATTTTCAGGCCCTCATTGTGTTCGACCTACTCTAAGACTCGGGCACAAAAACAGGGTTTCGGGAACAGGCTATTTCTGGCCTGTTCCCCACGACAGCTCAAGCAGGAGCTGCAGCAGCAGCCCCTGCCTCCCTTCGGCATTGGCAAGAGCAGCCTCCTGGACTGCCTCGCTTGCAGTCAGGAGGCACCCGAGTAGTACATAGGAAGTTCCCATGCACTTCACGGGTAGGTAGTTGGACAGTAGGCACGAGTAGTCTTCAGGATTCGGCCGCAGCACTCAGGAGGAGCGCTGCAGTAGTCTTCAGCGCTAGCAGTAGTCTTCAGCGCTGGGCGCCCATAGCTGTCGGTGTAGTCTTCAGCGCTGGGCGCTAGTAGGTGGTAGTAGTAGCATTGGAGGGAGATGGCTGGCGGAGGCCAGCGGTACTTACCTGTAACGCCATAGCTCCAGCTCCATCTTCGAGCTACCTGCATCAAGGCGCCAACTTCACAGGTTAGTACTGGACACATAGAGAGAGAGAGTTCTTCTTCTTCCTCTTCTAAGTCCACCATCTCTTCTTCACCCTCTCACCACCTGACTTCTCAGTATCAGTAGACTACTACAGAGAGAGAGAGAGTTGTGACTTGAGACTTGACGACATTGGATCCAGACTCGACATTTGGGATTCAGACATTTTGACGAGGGACTATTTGGGCCTGTGCCGAAGACTTGGTGTTGACGACATTCCCATCTTCCCCTCCTCTTTGTCTAACCCCCTTCTTCTTCGTCTGTGTATGGTTGGGGCTGGCGCAGTCTTCCTGTGTGAAGCGCCAGACCCCTTTCACACCATGGAACGATGATGATGATGTAATATTGATTGTTCGGATCATTGGTATTTAAGTCTTCCGCTACGCTATCTTGTACTTTGCATTGAGAGGTCGGTTCTTGTTCTGGTCTGCACAGTTACAGTATGCAACACAGACTCACAGTAGAAAAAAAAGCAAAAACAAAAGAGCCATTGGATATTGTGTGGACTCTGTGGACGCAACATCATCAAATGCCTCTTTTGAGTCTTTTTTTCTTTTTCTTTTTTGAATTCCAATGCCATTACATTAGAAATCTAAAATATGACCCAAGAGTAGCTGAGTGGGTGCACCCATGAACTGTTGAAATACAGACTCGAGTTCAAATCCAGATGATGGAACTTGATGAGTAAAACCAAAAATAAATAAAATAATTCTACAATATGAAAACTTGAAAAGCTTCCGCCTTTACAGAAAAAAATATTGACTTCTCACTTTCATTACTTCAAACTTTGTGTGCATCGCGCTCAAGATCCAAGTCACATCAGCAACGTCCACATGGTACGAGTACACACAGAACTCATTTACAATGTGAAATGATGCACAGGTTTCTCAAGGCCTGCAGCTATGTCTGCCAGCAACAGCAACAAGCACGTCTCTCTCTCTCTCTCTCTCTCTCTCTCTCTCTCTCTCTCTCTCTCTCTCTCTCTCTCTCTCTCTCTC